GACTCGTCGCTCCCATGTAACACCGCTGCTACGCGAGCTGCATTGGCTGCCGGTGGCCTTCCGGGTGCGCTTCAAGGTGCTGACCATCATCTTTAAAGCGCTCCATGGCATCGGACCCGGATACCTTCGAGACCGCCTCCTGCCGCAGATTACCCCCCATCGACCTGTACGCTCCCACAGAGTGGGTCTCCTCAGGGTGTCGTCAGCCAGACAGTGCCGGCTGGCGACCCCAAGGGGGAGGGCCTTCTCTGTGGGAGCTCCCACCCTCTGGAATGAACTGCCCCCAGAGATCAGGGTGATCCCTGATCTCCCTTCCTTCCGCTGCGCCCTTAAGACATGGTTATTCCAGCTTGCGGGACTGGCCTAGGGGAAACTTTTAGAGGGGGTTTTAATTATATTTTAATTAGATTAAATTTAAATATTTCCTTTTTAACTAATTTTTAAATTTGTAATGTTATTTGTGTATTTTTATCCGATTGTTAGCTGCCCTGAGTCCGCAAGGAGAAGGGCGGGATATAAATTTAATAAAATAAATAAATAAATAAATAAAATAGTTAACTTAAGGGATTTTATATTTAGATAAAACACAGTTGGAAACTGTATAATTCAGCAATGAAATTCAAAAAGGGACATTTTCTGCACAGTCCATTGGCATATTTAGCCATGTTTTAATGAGAGTTTTGGCAATTTCAATGTGTCCAAGAGATTGCTAGTTTAATTTTGTGTTTGATTTATTCCAGGCAATTCATGTGTACCAAGATGCATTATAACTCTATGTTCAAACTAGTGAGGCTTTAATGAAAAGTTTAGACAGTATTTTAAGAAATAGCTAACATGTACATTAAAAGTCACATTGCAAATCAAATGTTTTTGTAATTAGCATTTCAGCCTGCCGGTTGTAGCAACACAAGATCAGAATAAAATGAAATTTAATGAAAAGAAAAACATTACAAATCATCATGCTTTACATTATATAGTTTTATCTCTTGTGCCTAATCTAGTTCCAGTGTTGACTGTTTTAGTGAAGATGGCTTACATTTTTCTTTTATATAAAACAGCAATATAAAAATAAATTTAATGATAATTTCTGGAATTACAACTCCTGTTTCTGTGCAATTACATAGATTTTGTATCAGTATTGATTGTGGTTAATACTTTTTTGACCTCCACATCTGTTTATCAAACAATGTGACTAATGCCTAAACAATTGTAGAAAATATGAAAATTCATAAAATATACAGTACTGCAAACTGGTACATGTGAATTTGAATTCCAGATTTGCATCTAAATATGACTTTCATTAGTTGTCTGTCTTGGGTTAACTGGTTTCATGATATAGCATCAATAATATGCTTATAACTGTTTTACTAATTTTTTGCTGCATATTAGCAGATATAATAACATTTGCATTTGGGATTTACAAACTGTCCTTTATTCCTTCTTCAGTGCCAAGTGGATCTTGCTAGAATACTAGCAGTAATGTGTTAAAAATAAATCTACTGCGCCATATTGAAAGTTAGAAGCAGCTGTGAGGTAGATAGGCTAAGTGAACAATATATTTCATTGTCCCCCCCAAAGCTGTCTGCCAGTTACACGTCTGGGAACAAGATAAGAAAAACATTCCTTTTAGCTTTTAAGGAGTTGAATATAGTTGATCTATTATCAAGAAATCACAGAAGGATGTTGAATAAGCAGCAATATTTTATGTTGGCTTTTTTAATGTTGGCAAGAACACATCTTCCCAAGGAGGGGAAGGCATATATGATGGCTTTTTGTATCATTATTAGTCTTTCCATGTAATTACAGATCCCCTGGGTCACATGGGCTAGGAGCCTGAACATTTGAATACAAGCTTAAAGGGTGGGCAGTGCTTTGACTGGGTTAGTAGCAGGGCTCTTTGATTTCCAGAGGGCAGCTCCAACTTTCTCTTTGAATGGACCCTCTTACATTAGTCAGTGTAATTTAATGTTACAAAGTAGATGATCATCACATAAATGCTGAATATCTATCAGGTAAAAATTGTTTTTTTACAAAAGTCAAAAATATTGATTGTTAAAAAGTAATGTCATGATTATGGTAGTTATTATAAAAACTTTTTTCCCCCTTTGCTTAACTGATGGGCTATCTTGTAAGGCTTTAAGTAATAGTGGGGTTTTTTGTTTGTTTGTTTTTTGTTTTTTTGCAATTGCTTTATTCCAGACATTGGTGTGCAGCAAATTCATTACTTTTGGATAATGATAAGTACAGCCATTTAGCTTCTAAAGAATGGTTATATAAATAACATTACTTTAGGTATATATTATAATCTTCATTTCATTTAGAACATAGATTATTTCTCTTTCTTTGTACAAGAATCTGCTCTCCTATTACATAGTCTTTGTTTGGGGTACAGGCGTCTCTATTTTTAGAACTTTATTTAAATTGGAGTTCAAGACCTTTTGCAATCAAGATGGAACTACTGGGTATAACCAATTATGTCCAATTTATGGCACAGATTTATTTAACATTGTTAAGTATGGATTCAACTCACTGTACATTTAAAATTGAAAATAATTTTAATACATTCCACAGTTGAAAAAAGCATATTATTGATGTTTTATGAAATTAGTATGTCTTAAGCTTTGTCAGATATAAAAATAAAATAATTATTTAAAATAATTAATTAAAACTTGTGAATGTACGTATATTTAGCCTTTTTGTTTTTAATTTTTAAAACATTATGTCGTTATTAGATAAATAAAACAAAATAAAACATAATTAAAACTTGTGAATGTACATATATTTAGCCTTTTTGGTTTTAATTTTTAAAACATGATGTCCTTATAAGATTTCTTAACCACTAAATTGGTTATAGGTAGATATAAGAAAACCATTCAAGTATAAAATAAAATATGTAGTGTTACAAATTAAATGTAGGCCTTCAAAATACCTAATAATTAGTAACAGCCAATCATTAAAGTATGTCAGAAAAACATTCTAAAGTTGATTAAACATAATTCTGGTTATTTATGGTTGTTCTTTTTAATTCCTTTAGAGGTAAACCTTAGCAGTTCTTGAAAGCTTATAAGACTCCTGAGTGATTCAGGAATTTGATTCCACGGAATGGATTTATTAAGAAGGTCTTACTGTGTTTAGATCATCATTTAAGCAATTATCTTACTCCTAATGATCAACAGTACATAGTTTTGACAGTAAACACATTGTTTTCTTTATTTAAAAAACATTTAAAAGTAGCAATATAAGTTAAATTGGATTGCTGAAATGGATTATTCTAGGGATCTTGGAACAAAAATTCTCCACAGAGTAACTTTCTGTTGCAATTTTATTTATTGAAATATTTATATGCCAACCTATAGTCATGTTATTAGGGAAGTTTACAAGATATGCAAACAGGTTTTATGTTAAAATTTATGTTCTTAGCAATTTACCAAGTAAAATTCTAGAAATATTAATGATGAAGCAGTTACAACACCTGTCATAATATTTGTGACAATTACTACTTTCAAGAAAAAATAAACTTGACTTATTTTATTTGATCAAGCATTATTTAATCCTTTTTTCTAGAAATGTGTGCTGTATTGGCCAGAGAAGAGAGGGATATATGGAAAAGTGGAAGTACTTGTTGACAGTGTGCAGGAATGTGAGAATTACACTATCCGCAATCTAACATTAAAGGTACTATTTTTTATGTTGTTGTTTTTCAAACCACTATATATAATTATTAGTTCACAACACCTATAGTATTGAACTAAATACAAATAAAGGTTAAGGGTTCCAAGAAAATATCTTACACAAGAATATATAAAAACTATATTCAGCTGCTGGTAGCCCAGTCTATGCATTAACATTAAGCATAACATTAACATTATGTTTAATATGGCAGCATAATATAATATTGTAGAACTATAAGGTATGTAGTATCCTAAATTATGAGTATCAGCCTTCTTCAACTAAATGCACTCCAAAATGGTAGTCTTTATAATCTGTTAATATGAATTAGGATAATTACAGTATATGCCTAGAAGATAGTTTGAGAAATGTTGTGTATCAATAATGAAGTAGATTTCTATTTTATACATGATAATAATATTTATGAGACACATTTGGTCTTTATCCCTACTGTAATCTATCAAGTTGAGTTGATCACAGTTTGATAGCAGATTTTATCTGGCTTATCATGCTTTTTGCCTGGGGAGATTCAGATGATAGCTAGGTACCAATAAAAAATATCCTGCATATGCAGAATTTTCCATTGCCAACTATAAAAGCATGTCCACCGTTTGATTTCCAAAGAAGTACTTGCTTACCAATAGAAGAGAATAATTGTAGCTTAGGGTTGAAACTGTGGGCTCCTGGGTGCTCTCTGAGTTTGGTTGTTTTTTTGCAGATGTTTCATTACCAAACCAGATAACATGATCAGTGATAGCAGCGATGAGGTTACCTAGTTTGGTAATAAAACATCTGCAAGTAAACATCCAAGCTCAGAGAGCATCAAGCTCCCCAAAGTACTTGCTTTATTGAGTGCAGAAACACATTGTGCCTCATTTTCAATCAATGGTGTTGTTAACATAATATGTATATCGTTCATCGTTTTCAGCAAGGAAACCAGTCGAGGAATGTCAAACATTACTGGTACACTTCTTGGCCAGATCACAAAACTCCGATCAGTGCTCAACCTCTTTTACAACTCATGCTGGATGTAGAAGAGGACAAGAGGGCTTCAACTGATAGAGGTCCTACTATTGTTCATTGCAGGTAATTTTCACCTTAAAATTTATTTAAAAGTTTAATGGAGCAGGATAAAGAAAAAATACGAATTAAAAATTGATTTTTGCAATGTTGATAGTATATGTCAAGAAAGTGGAAAGTTGGTTCATTTACACGATAAGGAGCTTTTTATTTAACTCAGTTCCATCTGTGTAAGAAATATCTTTCCAAGCTTCAGGCAAGAATCTTTCTCAGCCTAATCTGGATTTAGTGGTGACTAAAACTCATACTTTTTCATGCAAATTTTATGGTCTACCTATATTCTATAATTATCCAAAAGACAACAATCCTTCCCATTATATGACGTCTTCAATCCAGGCAGGTCCCCTATTTGCTGCCTAAAACAGATTTAATGCTCAGTAGTAGCCTTCTAGCAAAGTGCACAGCCACACATTTTGCTTGGCCTATTCCAATATGACCCACTTACCACTGACATTGTCCTCCTCCTCCTCCCAGCCCACCAGAAATGCATCCCCTACCCTTGTTGTCTAGCTTCGGTTCAAAACTACTATCTTCATACCTGAACTGTCACAAACTCTTCCGAATGGATCATCTCCAGCATTTTGTTCTGATATAGTAACAGCTACAATTGTGATTGGTTGTAGGGCTTGGCATATTCCCTATCTGTAGTGTCTGATCACTGCCCTAGCTTGCAGATCTGCTATGTTCTGTGCATTTTTATAATCTTGCAATTGATAAAAAAGGTCTATTAAGCCAATGAACTGTGACAAACCCTATAGAATTATGCTCCATTCAACTCTAACATCTTCTAGTAGATACCCTGTTGATTAATGTCCAGTTTGGATAAGATATGGTCCCTAGCTTTCCCACACCCTATCTACAATATTGTAAAGCTTTCTTTCACTTCCCTTTATCTGTTTATACATCTGTATTACAGCTGTAAGATAGAAAGATTAAAGTTTTCTTTTAATAAAGCTAAGTTATCGTTTCTTCCTTGTTACAAAGTTTCCATGGCTCTACATAGTAAGGTAGGAACCAAAGAGCAGCCTGTTCCCCTGATGCTTTGATTACCGTAGCATGAGAGTACAGTAATGATGTCACAAAAGTAAGTAGAAAGAAGAATCTACTTCAGTGGCGAGGGAGATAATGTGGGAAGGGGTTTGAAGGCATCATGTTGGAAACCTCTAAGAAACCAAGGAATGGATGGGGACTGGTGAAGAAGGAACAACTCCAAAAAGGTAGGAAAAGGTAGGCATTGTTAGACCAGTATAGACAAGAGTCAGACAATGAGGCTGGCGTTTCCTGCATGAAATGGAAGGCAAGAAGCAAAGCAACAACTAGTCGGGTGTTTGAAGAACTATAGCCTGGACGGAACACCAGCCTGGCCTCATTGGCAACTGGAATCTGGGCAGGGATTTCTTAAGAAACAGGCAGGAAAAGAGCAGCCCAGGGAAAAAAGCAGTTAGACTGCAATGTGGAATTGCCCACATTGATAAATCTCACATCTGATCTTAATTTACAACAAACAATAGTTGACACTGATCTTGCATCCAAACAGATAGTAATCCAGAACTCTTCTTCAGTGAATGATACTATTTTTTAGAAAACATATAGTTTGCTGAATTTTCCTTCCACCACAATTTTAGTAAGATCCCAGGTTATAGCTTTTGATTATCTTTTACAATGTGAATTATACCATGTGTTGAAAATACCTATTTTCTCACCCAGTGTAAAGGGAGCTTGTTTTTATAGCAGTTCATAGAATAAATAAATAAATAAATAAATAAATAAATAAATAAATAAATAAATAAAATCTTCTTTTCTATAGTATGGTTTTTTAAAACAGGTCCCCAACCCCCAGGCCATGGACTGGGCTGCCACATGCCAGCAACTGGTCTGCACAAACAAGCAAAGCCCCATCCATGGGATGCAGGCAGCACTCAAAATCATGCACTCTCCGGTCCATGGAAAAATCTTTCTCCACAGAACTGGCCCCTGGTGCCCAAAACATTGGGGACCTCTGTTTTAAAATATCAGAAAAATTGTAGTTCCATGAGATTATCATACTGTGGCAGAAAATGTACATATTTGTATTATGATCTCAATTGTGCAAGGAAAGAGGGAAAAATACAAAACTGTCTGGAAAACTAAGAAATCTAAGAATATGCCATTTTTTATTCTCTCAGATATCAGACACGTGTCTTGTTTTTGCAATATATTACATTGCAATATATTGTAACAATTTAGATATTCTAGAAGTTTATGTAGCTGAAAATTGCTGAATTTTTAAGAAGAGGTTAAATATCATCTTCATCTACTTGATCACATATTTTTGAATGGAACAAAAATCAAAAGTTTCAACTAATCTACATTTGTTAAATTGCTAAGCTACTAAACAAATTTAAATTTTTATGCCACCCAGAGCCACCTTATAGGGGAGATGGGTGCCATAGAAATTTAATACATAAATAAATAAAAATAAACAAATGTAGTTCTTCTGAGAAAATAAAATGGTTATCTGAGATTATCCCATGAGTAAATTAGGAACAAAGCCCTTCTCCTTCTATGGAGAATATTTCAACACTTAAATATTCTGTGATAATAGCCATAACCTGTCATTTTAATTCTATTCTAGCTGTCATTTAATTCTATTTGGTTTAATTGTTTTCCTTGACAGTGCTGGAATAGGAAGAACAGGGTGTTTCATTGCTACTGCGATTGGTTGCCATCAGCTCAGGGAAGAAGGAGCTGTTGACGCATTGAGTATTGTCTGCCAACTGCGTTTGGACAGGTAGGATGACATAGGATACAAAATCCATTAATATTTGCCACCCAATATTTTTAAGTGTCACTGTCATTCCTGTCATGACCACTGTAATTCTGAAGTTTTTGTAGAATCCAGGAGAAACAAACTAATAATAGAAGCAAGCAAAATTAATAGCAAATAGCTCCATTGTATGTAAAATCAATTTAAAGTTTTTGCAAACTCAATTTCCTCTTCATCCAACTTTTCAGTCCACACCCTTTGTGCCCATTTACAATAAAGAAGTAACTAGATTAATGGCAATGTATCCATGCAATTCCATCATTGTGTGTGTTTTGGCTCTTTGCTAGGGATTTTAGGGGCAAACTCATGAATGCATTTAGCAAAATGCAAAATACAAATAAACACAGAAAGCAACATTATCAGCAGACAAATGGTGGGAGAAGTAGTTCTTTGATCTTTCTGTGCTGGCAGTGCCCCTTTAAATTTGTTCTGTAAATTCTAAGATTATTGTACTTGACATTTCTTAGATGAGTTATATTTCCCTATCATCCCCAGCCAGGCTATTTATGTGGTAGCTACAGCTTGTAAGAAGAATGCCAGGTTGAGAATGACCAGTTTATTCCATAGCTTAGTGGAATTCCACAATGTGCCTTTAAAAGTATCTGAGCCATGTATTTTACTTTTATGGTCAGATTAAATACAGTTCTGCTGTCAATGCTGAAATGAGTCATGGCTTCAGCATTTCTTCGATGTCAGCTGGTGAGACAGGAAGCCTGCGAGGCATTAGAAAAAGGACAGGAAAACCTGCAGTCTGTACATGTGCTCTAGGACCACAACAGGTCATTCATTTAGTGTCAGAATGCAATTTCATGGATATTGGCAGTCACATTCAAATTTTCTTAAGCGTTTGAAGATGCACGTTGCTTGTTCTGAATTTTAAATCGGTAAATACCGTAGTTCAAGGACTGGAGCAGCATCCTCTGAAGAACAGCAAACAAAATCAAGACATTTGACTGCAGAATTGCGTAGCCCAAAATTATAATTGAAAAGCAGCAGGTAGTGCTCTTCCAGGTTTGAGTTTTGAATATATTTTAACACTTTAACACATTTAATAAATGCAACATGCAAAGGATTCAGATTGGACTTATTATTGGCTTATTATTGGCTTATTATTTAAATAAAACTTAATGATGCAGAAAGTTAGTCAACTTTAGCAAAAATTCAGCTTTTCTTTCTATATAAAGGAATAATACTCTGTAGTTGGACAATGTGCTTGTGGCAAGATTGTATACATCTGGTGTTACATTCCTCAGTGTATTCTTTATCAAGGGAACATAAAGACACGAACACAAATATTTAAGTTCTCATTATACCTTTGTGTCTGAAAAGGCATTTTAGCAGTCATTGTAGCACAATAGATGCCAGAACTAAGCTGCACACGTGTTCATCATTTTTGACATTTTTGACATTTTATTTCATGAAATGTTGGGGTTATCATTTAGCCTAGTTTCCTTCATTTTTCATAACTGTGTCCATGTGGGCATGTTGGTCTTGCAAGTACAATAGCAGTAATTGTGATGGCAGCCTGGTCACCATTTTGCATCTTCCTTAATACTTAGGCCCGAACATCATTTGGGAGTGTGGTGAGGGAAAATGGTGGCTACCAAATGCCCAGACATTGTCCAGTGCTGGAGAATATTCAAGCTGGAGACTACTCAGAAAAAAACCTATTAGAAACTCTTCTGTAGGAAATAAGGATAAGGGAAAAAATCCTTTTTGTTGTTATTATGGGAAACATTGCTCTGGGGGGAGGAGAATCAACGCAGCTACAACTGTAACACTTACACTTTGCATCAGCTTGGCTGCAGACATAGCGATGAAAATGGTCCAAGATAGAAATGTCATTTTCTATGGTCACATTTGTATCATTCTGATTCTGGGGAGGGGGAGAGTTGGATGGTATTTGAAATGATGTGATCCCCTGTCAAACTAAAATGGAAATGCAGTATGATTGGGCACAGACACAGATAGATGTTCTATCAAATTGTGTTATTTATTTATTTATTTATTTATTTATTTATTTATTTATTTATTTATTTATTTATTTATTTATTTAATATGCTGCACATTTCACTATTGAATTGACCCTGCTTACAAAAGGATAAAAAGATAAATATAAAAACAATTACAATTAATAAGAATTAAATACAAACTAAAAACCAGGAGGACAGATGACACAAGGCTTTAGGGAGGGAAATGCATTGTAGCATCAGTGACACATTACCTTTTAATTTTGCTCTGCTTTCTTTTGCTTTTCAGAGGTGGAATGGTCCAAACAAGTGAACAGTATGAATTTGTTCATCATGCCTTGAATCTGTATGAAAGCAGGCTCTCCGCTGAAGCCATCCAATGAAACCAAGATGGAAAAAGTAAACAGGTCACTCTCTTATGAGGTAATTTATTTCATTACCTTCAAGCAACTTCTTCAAGGAGTTGACAGCTGTATAAGGAGAAACAGAGCATTCAACCTGTCAAAGGAATGTGGATCATTTTTTTAAAAAAGCATTGAAGATTGATGGACTCTTGTTTTGAATGTATTGTTCCTGAAACAGTTTTAATGAAGGTTAATATGCTGATGTTACATTGAATTTTTCACATATACACACACATGTATACATGTGTGCATATATTAAGGAAGATTTATTTCTGTATTAATGGAATATGAAACACTGAATGTATGTATGTATGTATAACAACTGGATGTGGGAAGTTTCACAGAAGAAATGTGTACACATGCTTCAATGTTTGCAAAGTCTGTCTTGTGAATAGCCAGTCAGATGTTCAATTGTATCTGCTAAGTGCTATTCCCTATTATGCGGTAAACTTAATTTGGAGTGCCCTGGATTCTTGGTGGTAAAAGCTGCAAGGGGATGGTTATGAGTAGTAATATCCATAGCATCCTACAGAAGAAAAATAAAATAAATTTGTGGGTTTTTAAATGAATAAAAATCAATAACTATTTTATATGATGATTCTAGTAAATGCTCATAAATATTTACTGCAAATAGTGAATTTGGTAAAAGATTGGGGAATACAATGGGTGCAACACAAAGACCATTTCCTGTGCAAATTGTATGAAAAAAGATGAAGTTATTTTTTTAAAAAAGGAATGCATTTAGTGAAGATTGCTGGATTCTTTTGAACTTCCATCTAATTTCAATGGAGCTTGGTCAAGAGAAATCCCTAATAAATTGCATCCAGTGTCATTTTGCAATAGTTATGCATTTATTCAATACCACTTACTGTGTTAAAAACTTTTGCTCTAGGGCAGAATTCTGTGCATGTGTAATCATTCGAGTCATTTTACAAACAAACAAAAAAGGATCTTTGTAACATATATTTATATGGCAAATTTTAAAATATTTCCATGTCTTTTAATTTTAAAAAAGTTGTAAACCCTCTCACATGTGAGGTTAGATGCTTGGAGAAACAAAATCTTGAAAGCTTTCTTAAACATAAGGCTTATTTATTTTTTCCTAGCTCACATTCCACCTTCAAAAAACTCAAGGGTTTTCGGCACACAATTTATTCATAGGTTTCTAAAGCAAATGATGTTATCTTTGCTTCATGTAGTCAATAAACTGCATATAAAGATGCTTGTAATTTTTAAATTTTTGTTTCAGTCATTATAATCAAATATTGCTACTTTTCTGTTGGAGTATTCAGCAATACAACATTCTGCCTGAGAGCATTTCTCCAAGGTCTATATATGTCTGTCCACTATTCTATCTGTGTAATCAAAAGTAATGTGTAAGAAATCTTTCTATTCCTATAATTTAATACAGGGGTCCCCAACCCCCAGTCCATGGACCGGCACCGGTCTGTGGCATGCCAGAAAGCGGTCCGCACATACAAGATAAGCGCAATTCACAAGATGCAGGCAGCACATGAAACCATGCCCCCTCCAGTCCATGGAAAAACCTCTCTCCATGGAACTGCTCCCTGGTGCCCAAAGGGGGGCGGGCACTGATCTAATGAACTAGTAGTGGTTATTACTTTCCTTAGTGGCAGCAAGAGAGAAGCAGATTATAACATTGGAAGGTCAAGCCCTGGACAGACCAAGAGAAGAGCTACTGCTTTTGAACTCTACTACTACTGCTGCTGATTCCACTACTCTACTACTTTACTACTTCTACAAACTGCTGACTCCAAATTAATCCAGATTAAAGCAATCAGAACCCTACTTTCTGGATTACACCACAGGGACATTTCTAGACAGCAAGACTAAAAGTAATATATTTGTCTGTAACCCAGTGAGAAATCCATCTGATTTCCAGAGCAACCTATATATTTCAAGAGCGGCGCGGTGGCTCAGTGGTTAAGGTGCTGGCTTGTCGGCTGGAAAGCCACAGCCCAAGTTCAAGACCTGAGCACAACGCGTCGAAGTGAGCTCCTATCCTTGTCCTAGCTCCTGTCAAACTAGCAGTTCGAAAGCATGCAAATATGAGTAGATAAATAGGAACCACTTTGGTAGGAAGGTAATAGCACTCCATAACATCCTGCTGGCCACATAACCGCATAAATATCTTTGGACACTGCTGGCGCAATGGCCTTGAAACAGAGATGAGCCCTGATCCCTATTGTTGGCAATGACTAGTGGAGTAAAATCTTCAGGGACTCCTTTATCTTTTTTTACCTATGCATTATAAAGCTGAGGCTCCAGATTCCACAATTCTTGAATTGTGCCACCTTTTTCAGTAGTAGCACAATGGCATTAATCAAAATGAGGTATACTGTATATAAGAAAATCATCCTTCAGGGCCATGCTTATTATTTCATGCCTCCTTCTTCACCTCAAAAAGGTGTGGAGCCAATCCAGTCAAAAGGTATTAATTTCTTTCACAACCATTACTGTTTGGTAGAGAAAAACGGATGAAGTGACAGCAAGGTACAGTGAAAAACGATGTCATGAAGATGCCATGTGAATGTTGCAAGTTGGCACTCAGGGCACAAATACTCAATTGAATTCATAATGAAGAGACCCCAGAGAATATGCCCTTTTTCCTTGCAGGATACAGATAAATCCTATATGGCATCTAAACATGTAATGTTCCTAGATGTATACATAACATATCATTACAAAAAGCTGTGGTATTTACAGGACAACACAGTATATATTTACACACAAGTACACCTGCAGACAGGCAATTAAACCAAATTACAGCTCCTCATCCTTAGCTGAGATCTGTTTTTAATGCCTTCTTGTTTTGCTTATGTTTTGCTAAATATAAGAGATAGGACAATAAAGAACTGTATGAAAATTCAAAGTGATGTAAAACTCCCCCAAAAAACAATTGAATAGAAGGAAATGTTCGTCACAGACTTTTTCCTCTTGTGAAACCACATTTCCTTCCTAGCCTTCACTTCACTTATCTGGACGATGCTTTTTTAAAAAAAGTGAAGAGAGAGAAAGAAGCAATGGTTGTTGTTAGAGGGAAAATGCGGGCTTTACTTCGTGTTTTAATTTCTACCTCCCTGGCCTTTGCAATCTCTGGTAAGTATGACTACAATTTTTCTGTTTCTTTTTTTTTTCTGGATGTGATTTCCAAGGGTTACTGGGAGTTTTCACAAGGTTTCTGAAATGGAATAATTAATTTCTAAGGTTTGGTGTATACAACAGAAATAGAGGGATGGGCCATGGAAGCCCATAAATATTTAGATTTTATTCAGAAAGAAAATTAAGTTTTGTGTTTAAAAATTACCTTAAATGTGAGACTCTGAGATGCTATCCTGTGTTTCTGATTTCATATTTTCTGAAAGATATAATATCACATGCTAATCATTCTATATTATATAAAATATTCTATAAAAATGGAAATGAATAGCAGAAAAAAATGCTAACTGAGCATATTATTTCAGGTAATTAATCTATATCATTGGGACTTTTTAATGAATATTTGGCAGAAAGAAATATAAGACTTATTATATCATGGTATTTTATAGTTAAGACTGAATAGATTTTATCTCAGTGAATTTATTCTTGAATTTACCAATTGTGTCTTTTAAACATTATAGGAAGAAAAAATGCTTAGGAATTGTATTACAATTAAGAGCATTACACCCAAGTCAGTACTATATATACATATACATAACATATACATATACATATACATATATATGTAGAAACAAATATGTGGTCAATAAGAACTAGCAATATATCTGACAGCCATTGCCACTGAATACTGTGCTACTACAAAATGTGTTAATCTCATCATATGAATCTATTCAAACTCTGGCTATACTTTTGTAAGGTTTTTTTGTTTAAGAAAAAGTAAAGACTGAAATTCAATAAATCTTTATCATTATTCATAAAATTGACATTTTGTCCAAACCATTTTGATCTATATATGAATTATTTATACATTAGCATGATAGTAGTGGTGACAAAATGAATGGGTTTGAATTTGTGCTTTTGTTATTGTCCTTATCTTATGAATATTAACTGATGCTCTACTCTGTACTATGGATTCTTTGTCTCTCTTTTTTTTAGATAGTTTTCTGATTATCCATGAGCAAAAAGAGCAGTGTATTTATGAAAGTCATAAAATAGCCTATGTGGGAATGTGCAACTTGACCAATATTAATCAGCAGTGGAACTGGTTGCAAGAAGAAAAGCTTCTTCATCTTAGAACTGGCCAATGTCTGGCCATTACCAGGTCCAAGGTTGCACATTCCCGCAAAGTGATTATTGCCAACTGCTCTGAGGCTCCTAGCTGGACTTGTTACAGCAGTGAAGGCCTCCTGGAGGTGAAAAACAGCTCTCTCTTCCTTGAGAAAAGAAGTTCAAGAGTAGTTGTGAAGAAGGGCAGGAAATATCCCCATAGTTGGAAAAAACTTGGTGTCAATGAGAAAGGAGAGAACATCCATGAAAATCTTTGTTCAAAGATTGGTAAGCATTTTGTTTGAATATGTTTCCTGTCAACTATAAGCACTGACTGATTTTGAAAGTACAATGACATTTGCCTTCTAATCATTTAGAAGCACTTTAAAAGCTCTCCAAGATAATTCAACTGTAGTTTTAAGGACAGTGATAAGAAATGCCTTCTTAACTATATATGTATATTTGTTATCTTTCTCCATGGTTTCAGGTAGCTTTTCATGGCCTTTCTTAAGAATAGTGAACAGAACGATGCATTTCCCTCACAGAAATGAACAGGCCAAGATTAGCAATCCTTTAAATACACGGTCAAGCTAGTGGTGTGGAAAAAAGGGGTGTTATCTGTTTGCTTATTGAAATTATAGAGCTTAACATTTCTAATATAAAACCAATCATACTATTAAAAAAAACATAGATCAGTATGCATACTCCAGTATGGTGGATAAAAAAGCAACAGATAAGAAACACTATTTGCCTGAATATATGACTGGAATAAACTTTGAATTACAGAATGATTTATTCATATCTCATTCTGTTAGCCACTATGTTGAATCAGCATGTAGCCCAAAGCCAGCAAATGTTTGAATGACTGGTTATATATATTTGATATTTTGTTTTTCTTAATGACCTGGATCAAATAGAAATTTGAGTTGCTCTATCCATGACCAATGAATATGGTATAATGCATTTCTTTTCCATCTAAAATATTTTGAACTAACATATTTAGGATATGGAGCGCAATGGCCTATGCAATGGTTTAAAGGTGTGAATAATATATGGCAACCAGAAAATGATAATCGGACAGTCATTGTACTCTCAGATTAATGAATTTACTGTAGTACAGAAGATAGAAGAGGCTCCACCACTGAAACCCTTTCTTTTGGCTTTCTGTTTGATCATGTTGATGTTTTAAGCTCTATACATTTTGGTATTGTTTGGGCTGGATGGTTCTGAGCATCACAGGTTCCAATTTATTATTTACTTTAAAAAGTATGTTCTTATTTTAATGAAGAAAGCATTAATATA